TTAAAATCGCGTGAAAGGCAACGTTCTTTAATGCAATTTGTTAAGAGCATAACTTGGTAGTTCTGTTAGGAGAGGCAGGCTCAGCTCCCACGCTTGGCGATATATGGAACACACAAATATACTCTGCAACTCTCTGAGCCCACCACAAAGGATCGCAGACTTGGACATCTGTCGCTTGACGTTTCGTATTTCTGAAGGTGATGGCAGACCTGTTACGGTGTTGCTGCTCAGTACTAGGAGTGTTACAAGCACAAGGTGCGATGCTATGTTGCGCAAATTTGGAGCTTCTTTGTTAAACTGATGAATGAATTATAGATTCCTTACTTCATTAGAAATAAAAAGTACATCGAGTCCTTAGATATTCTTAGCGCATTTACTTCTATATTCTCGGCCGAGGAGAAGGCCAAGTAGAAACTGATTTCTGGTGTGGTGTTTCTGGATCATTACACCCCTCGAGGAATTGCTTCAAGTCGGTATTATACACGTAAATGACAGGAGAATGTACTGGGTCCATGTATGCTTTGTATGTCTAGAGATTTGAAGTGGGGGTTGTATGTTATCTTCAGACATAATTTCTTTAATTCTCAAAGGATTTTTGTTCAGTGATAATGAGTTTGATTTAATTTGCGGTAATCAGATACACAGATACCCGTAAGTTTGGTCTGGATAAATTGTGAGTAGTATAGTTTGTGAGCATAGGGGGGTGGGGGGGCTCAGCTTACACCAGCACACGAGAATCTGTAGGTGCAGTGTACATGGGGTAGAGCAGTGAGAACCTGTTAAACGTTCTCTCCGGGTATTAGTTCAGAGCTCTACAAGTAAGTAATTATCAAAAGAAGGCACCAAGCCGGGAAGGCTATGTAGCACCATCAAAGTGCGGGATAATCAGAGGGCGCTAAATATCACCAAGGATGCCAATACGAGAACAAAAACGCATAAGACGAACGATATCAAAAGTATCCGAGTCACTCGGAGCTCTACAAGCTACCAACTTGTTTAACTGAAATAGTTAAAAAAAAAAATACAGCTGCCACTTAGTATGCAGTTCCTTATATAACTTTGCTCGTCCTAATATAAATCCAGGAGAACAAATCCACAAGGGCCGTGACGAGGATTCGAACCTGCGTCCGGGAGCATCCCAGACACTGCCTTAATCGACTGAGCTACGACAGGGTAAAAGGGTTGAAACCGAAGTTCTACTGAACTTACTGGATCCCGTAGCCTCTCCGAGGCACAGTGTCTGGGATGCTCCCGGACGCAGGTTCGAATCCTCGTCACGGCCCTTGTGGATTTCTTCATTTGATGCATCACGTTAGTGTGATCTCTGTGTGTGATAAATGCAGGATTCCCTGGCCAGTCATTTATGACTCAAAGATGCCAGAGTTCTCATTCTCAATACATTACCCTTCATACTTCCATCACAATGATTCCGTAACGTTTGGGCAGCCTAACGTTCTCCGTCTCCAGTCTAACCTCATCATTTTCTGTTTAATTCTCAAGTCTCATATTTTTGGGGCTATATATAATTACTGTTCTGCCTTGACCTTTTCAAACTGCAATTTCAGGCGAGCATTTTCAACTGCAATGTGAGAATTTTTCCTTTAATATATGACATTCCTCATTCATTAATTGGATAATTTTCCTTTCTCTCAAAATTTTCTTTGACTCGTTCTTATAATAGTTATTTTATGCCGGTTCTAAGGGGAGCCGGTCAGCCGAGCGGACAGCACGCGGGACTTGTGATCCTGTCGTCCTGGGTTCGATCCCAGGCGCCGGGGAGAAACAATGGGCAGAGTTTCTTTCACCCTATGCCCCTGTTACCTAGCAGTAAAATAGGTACCTGGGTGTTAGTCAGCTGTCACGGGCTGCTTCCTGGGGGTGGAGGCCTGGTCGAGGACCGGGCTGCGGGGACACTAAAAGTCCCGAAATCATCTCAAGATAACCTCAAGATGCCACTTAAGTTTTGCTTCTCTTGTCCTTTGTCTGGTATATGATAACTTTTAAAGCTTCCAGCATATAATATTTCTTATATGTCTCGCTACATATCTTGCAGGTTATATGCTTGCCTCAGCTTTAAGGGCCGGGGTAGGTGTTATCTTAAAGAGTATGGGCAGGTGTGGTCTTCAGCGGCCTGAGGTATGTTTGGTCATAAGAACACACCTGCAGGGGGGCCAAGACAGTTGTGGTCTTCAGAGTTTTTGGACAGGTGAGAGTTTCAGGCGGCTCATAAAGTACGTTTCCATAATCGGGGCCGAGTTTGTTTTTCGTGAAAAGGAAAAAGGGTCACTAGATCCAACACTGCTGTCATCAGGAGCGGGACACAACGCTGTCACCGCCAACAGTTGTGGACGCTGGGGTCTCCACAGCTGCACGCCCCACACTCCTCTCAATGGCTCCGAATCCACTCCCCCTCTCTTAGGCTCTTTCTTGTCGTCAAACCTTTCAATATTGCGTGATAAATTGCCCTCTTGCTCATCCATAAATATTGTGACGATCCTGTGCCTCTGGTCTATCTTGGCCAGTGTCACACTCAGCTCTACATCGCAGTCACTCTCAGCTCTACCTGGCAGAGTACAAGATATAGCATTTTAATTTATTTACATTCATTTATCAATTGTAACTCCTAAGAGTATTCCTGACAGTAGGCTTCTGGTCGTATGTCCGTTCGTTCATGTTGTAAAATATGATCTTATGTTTGTCTACAATCAAAGTAGCTTCAGGGTTGAATTCAGAGCCGTAAACCTGCAAATAATTTCCACAATTTACCAGATAAACTGTTAGATCTTAATTTAGTAACTAATATTATTACAAACCCCCCTCACTATTACGGGCTATTCATGACCGTGCCATCTCTTGGCTGGCTAAATCTTCATCAATCACCTCACTAGAAATTGTGGGGAAAGTTACATGTTATGCAGTCAGCTGGAAATGAATAACAACCAATATACAGTCCACTAGCATTTAAACTTAAATAAATAATGAAATTATCCATTTAACCCCACAATGCCCACCAGTTGTGTTCCAGGTCTGGTGCTGCCCCCCACCAGGTGTGTTCCAGGTGCTGGCGCTGCCCACCAGTTGTGTTCCAGGTGCTGGCGCTGCCCACCAGTTGTGTTCCAGGTGCTGGCGCTGCCCACTAGTTGTGTTCCAGCCCTGATGCTGCCCACCAGTTGTGTTCCAGGTGCTGGCGCTGCCCACTAGTTGTGTTCCAGGTCTGGTCCTGCCCACCAGTTGTGTTCCAGGCCTGGCGCTGCCCACCAGGTGTGTTCCAGGTCTGGTCCTGCCCACCAGTTGTGTTCCAGGCCTGGCGCTGCCCACCAGTTGTGTTCCAGGCCTGGCGCTGCCCACCAGTTGTGTTCCAGGTGCTGGTGCTGCCCACCAGGTGTGTTCCAGCCCTGATGCTGCCCACCAGTTGTGTTCCAGGTGCTGGCGCTGCCCACCAGGTGTGTTCCAGGTCTGGTCCTGCCCACCAGTTGTGTTCCAGGCCTGGCGCTGCCCACCAGTTGTGTTCCAGGTGCTGGCGCTGCCCACCAGGTGTGTTCCAGGCCTGGCGCTGCCCACCAGTTGTGTTCCAGGTGCTGGCGCTGCCCACCAGGTGTGTTCCAGGTCTGGCGCTGCCCCCCAGTTGTGTTCCAGGTCTGGCCCTGCCCACCAGGTGTGTTCCAGGTGCTGGTACTGCCCACCAGGTGTGTTCCAGGCCTGGCGCTGCCCACCAGGTGTGTTCCAGGCCTGGCGCTGCCCACCAGGTGTGTTCCAGGCCTGGCGCTGCCCACCAGGTGTGTTCCAGGCCTGGCGCTGCCCACCAGTAGTGTTCCAGGCCTGGCGCTGCCCACCAGTTGTGTTCCAGGCCTGGCGCTGCCCACCAGGTGTGTTCCAGGCCTGGCGCTGCCCACCAGGTGTGTTCCAGGCTGCCCACCAGGTGTGTTCCAGGCTGCCCACCAGGTGTGTTCCAGGCTGCCCACCAGTAGTGTTCCAGGCCTGGCGCTGCCCACCAGTTGTGTTCCAGGCCTGGCGCTGCCCACCAGGTGTGTTCCAGGCCTGGCGCTGCCCACCAGTTGTGTTCCAGGCCTGATGCTGCCCACTAGCCAGAGATCACCAGGCATGCTACCCACGAGCGGGAAAATAAATAGATTATATAGAAAATCGACTATGAACCCAACATTTTGTAGCGAACAGTTCAGCATTCTTATCCAGACTTCGGCCTATTAATGTGGACCATTGAAGCTCTTGTATAAATAAATCTACACTGCTGTATTTATATTGCCTTGGTAATTAATGAGGGCTTCAACTGATTGCCCCATAAAGGGGGTTTACAGTGATTAATTAAACCAGTAATTTGTTCCCCGTAAACTCAGGTGGCGTGATTAATATTATACTCGTGTATCGACCTTTGTGGGGTCACGTGTGACGCTGCAACAGCTTCTACCGAAAAGACAAAGGGATTTGCCAATATTGTCAAGCGTGCGAGGAGACGCAAGATTAATTGTGTGACGCAGATCTACGCAGCATCCACCAGTGTGTGTTGTGGCGGGCATGATGGCTGCGAGGGATATTGTCATCTCAGACATGGTTATATAGTCGTGATAATTAAGAAAGAGCCTTCAATAATTATACATGAGAGTCGAGGTGTAGAATGGCCCAATCTGGTCCACTATCAAATGCCAGAAATATACTAGGAAGAAAGTGGGGGAACTAACATTTCGAACTCAAGAACTCCAAGAGGAAGTGGGTTAGCCACAGCCAGCAGGTCTGTAACTCAGAGAGAGAAGCAGAAGACAAGGCCAGACCTCTCGCCTCCCTAGCCTTGCAGCAGCACTTTCTTCCCTGCCCTCCACTCCCTACTCTACACCTCTCCCAGCACCGCTACACTCACTCTCTAAGACCCCATGTAACTTACACTGCTAAATCAACCACTCCACTACACCGTCTCATGATATACAATCACTGTATGACAGGAGTTGCCCAAAACCAAAGCGCCAGAGTGCCCAAGCGTCACTGACCTGAGCGGCCACCTGCCCCTGCCTGAGCCTGGGCAGGTCGGTGTGGGAGAAGGGAGAGTTCATCCAGGGCTTCTCCTGGCTCAGGTCGCTCGAGAGGTTGAAGGAGTGAAGCTTGTTATGGAGGAACATGCGAACGTTCCACGCCATGTCGTTGTGTCTGCAACAGATAACATGGATAACAATAACATGGATAACGATAACATGAATAACAATAACATGGCCTCAGATAACCAGCAATGGCCACCATTAGGCTCAGACAAATGAGCAATACTATTTAACACGAAGTAAATAATTCAGTTGACGAATGTAAAAAAAAATAGTGTTGAAATTAGAGTCAACTGATGAAATGAATCATTCTAAAGATGATATGAATAACAAGGAGGGCGAAATGTTCATCATTCATTAGATGAGATGATTGAAAGGAAGAGGGAAGGGAATTATCAGGGGAAAGCACCAAGCTATTACGACTATATAGCATGTGGAATGGATCGGGATAAGGATTTGGGATGGGACGGGGGTAAGGAATAGTGCCCAACCAGTCGGGAATTGAACCCAACCAATTGGGTTGTTAATATTCAATAATTTTTTGCCAGTTAATTCTGGATAATTACCGCCAAATCGAGAAAATAAATAAAAAAAAATGGGACAAAAGAGACACCAGTTCTTGGCCGCAGGTAAATATGAGGTTATCTTGAGAGGATTTCGGGGCTTTAGTGTCCCCGCGGCCCGGTCCTCGACCAGGCCTCCACCCCCAGGAAGCAGCCCGTGACAGCTGACTAACACCCAGGTACCTATTTTACTGCTAGGTAACAGGGGCATAGGATGAAAAACTCTGCCCATTGTTTCTCGCCGGTGCCTGGGATCGAACCCAGGACCACAGGATCACAAGTCCAGCGTGCTGTCCGCTCGGCCAACCGGCTCCCTGAGAGAAGGAAGCTGGCTCCTCTGACTCGACTGACGCCATTCAATAGCAATAATAAATTGTATTGATGGCTGTCGACTCATTCTTGGTAGGCGGTAAAATATGGGTGATCATTGCCACGTAACTCTCGGTGAAGAGGTATGGGGGGCCGTGTTAGTCTCGTATTATCTGGCAACAGTGAGAAATAGGAAATTATTGTCTCCTAATTCAGGAAGCTGGGAGAGATTCGCAATGGGAGACCCATATTTTTGCCCACTCTGTGATGAAGGGAATCGTAGCCATATATATTTGGTAACAATGCTGAGGACGCCTGAGGGAGATAAGGAAGAGTGTGACAGAGTGCTCAGGGTGGTGGAGCAGAGGTGCTCAGTGCTCAGGGTGGTGGAGCAGAGGTGCTCAGTGCTCAGGGTGGTGGAGCAGGAGAGGTGCTCGGTGCTCAGCTGGTGGTGCTCAGGGTGACTGAGCGGGAGGACATACGGTGCTCAATATGGTGGAGTTTGGCAGAGAGGTTGACTCAATTAGTATAGCTCAGGAATGGTAGAGAGGCAGAGTGAGGTTAATACTCCATTGGTGGTAATTAAGGGGGATTGAGGTGGAGAGGATGGGTGGTGCTCTCTTAATGGAGTTGAGGGTGGTGGTGGGTGGTGGTGGGTGGTGTGGTGGTGGTGGTGGTGGGCGTGCGGGAGAGACAGGACCCCGCCCCTCCACCAGATGAACACCCGGGCGGAAAGAAAGATGGCAAATAGTAAAAATAAAAATAAAATGGGTCTAAGGCGTGAAAGGTAATCCTACAACGGAACACAAAGGTACACATAAGGTAACGTCGCTACCTGCACCTATGTGTTTCGCGGGTGTTTAGATGTTGACCAGACCACACACTAGAAGGTGAAGGGACGACGACGTTTCGGTCCGTCCTGAACCATTCTCAAGTCGATCGGCTTGAGAATGGTCCAGGACAGACCGAAACGTCGTCGTCCCTTCACCTGCTAGTGTGTGGTCTGGTCAACATACTTTAGCCACGTTATTGTGACTCGTCTCCTGCATTGTTTGGATCCTTGTAGGTACTTTCTCGGCCCATAACTGGTTCACCAGTACTCCTGCCTGTCGTACTTTGAAGCTCGAGGTGGTCTAATGTGCAGTGTGCAACCTGTTCTCTTCATAGCACGTCGCATTTTGACGTATACCTTACCTAAAGCCTAAAAACTGACGTTCAAGAAATATAGCAGCGGTCCGCGAAACTGATATAATATCCCGTTTTCTGTTCATGGGTTCTCGAGTTGGTTAGGTTAGGGTAATTTAGTATGAGAGTTAATTGACGGTGGGAACGTTGGCGAGAACGGGCTGTAGTGCGTGAGTATCTGAAAGGGGTCAAGTGAAGTGTGGTGGAATGACTCAACGGATTTCATATAACCAAAATGGCAAGAAACTTCGTCACCCAAGAGCGTGGCCTTAGTGAATGGTGCAATACAGCAACTCGTCCTCTTAAAAATAACGTCACTTTTGGCTCGTATGCGCGCTATGGCCAAATTTGGACGTGCAGTAATTTGAAATGAAATCGACTCACAAAAGTGACGTACTGTTTCGTTTTCTGTTTGAGTCGTCCGGCCGACTCTGTAAGGTTAGACAAGATGACTTTCAATTCACGTTTTTCCATAACGTTTTGAAACTTTATGAGAATTTCCTGCCCACCTAACCTATCAGAGGACCCTTAACTTACTGTTGTTGAAAAAAAAAAAAAATCCCAAATATATTTTTAATTTTTTTTCATTTTCAAATTACGTCCAAATTCGGCCAAACGGCCAAAAGCGACGTTCTTTTTAAGAGGACAGGTTGGAGAGCCAACAGAAGACAATCGGAGCTAACGAAGACACTTCAAAGTGATTTCGACAGCAGACGTGGAGGTATACATTGAAGTGCACTCAGCCAGAAATCTTGGCCTTAGAGCACCGGACTGCACATGTTAGTGTGAACATTCCAAAATCGTTATGTATTTACTTAGGCTCTCGTGTGGAGTGTCTGTGAGAAGCCTGGAGCGTTGAGCCGGTCGGCCGAGCGGACAGCACGCTGGACTTATGATCCTGTGGTCCCGGGTTTGATCCCGGGCGCCGGCGAGAAACAATGGGCAGAGTTTCTTTCACCCTATGCCCCTGTTACCTAGCAGTAAAATAGGTACCTGGATGTTAGTCAGCTGTCACGGGCTGCTTCCTGGGGGTGGAGGCCTGGTCGAGGACCGGGCCACTGGGAAACTAAAGCCCCGAAATCATCTCAAGATAACCTCAAGATAGCCACTATTGCCAGCAGCCTAATGGTATCACGAGGTCTGTCGTCTCTCATATACAGGAGTAATTACAATCATTCATCTCATGGAAGCCAGCAGCCAAGGAGTCAACCGTCTTAAATTCTATAGAGAAGGAATTTTCAGGTTTACAATCACCAAAAGGAGATCAGCGGTCATCCGTCTGGTATTTTCTCAATGATTGTAGTTGTAAACCATGACGCATTAAGACGCCATCTCTCTCTACCAATTATAGACCACCAAACTTCTACATAATCATGTATGGGAAGAAATACCTTGTTCAAACAGTATTAATGCACGGGGATTGGAGTTGTTACATGGTTGTAGAGCCACTAGTACGCGTAGCGTTTCGGGCAGGTCCCTGGAATACGATCCCCCGCCGCGAAGAATCGTTGTTACAACCAAGTACACATTTTACTGTTGAGTTAAACAGAGGCTACAGTTAAGGATTTGCGTCCAGTAAATCCTCCCCGGCCAGGATACGAACCCATGACAAAGCGCTCGCAGAACGCCAGGCGAGTGTCTTACCACTGTACCACGGGGACTGGTAAATTGAAGTCGAATATACTTGACTAACAAAACAGAATGCTGAAGGAGAATTGTTTTAAGCATTAGATGATGTCTTGTTTCTTTAAACAATATATTAACGAATCAACATGAAAAAAAAGTATTGTAGACTTAGTACGAGCTAACAGGAAGACAATATATTGACATTGAATTAGGGAGTGAGTTAGAGAACAGTGATAACAAGGAAATCCAACGTAGCACAGAAAAGTTGTGCAAAGATAAAAAGATGTTAGGCTACCAAGTTTCGGAAAAGCTGAGAAAGGCGCCCTGCAAACACAGAACGTATCGGTGCCTCTGTTTCCCTTGTTATAACTTGTAATAAAGTTGTTACATCTTGTTAAAACGTTTTTATGACGTATATACGTACTTCTCTTAAAGGAAACATTCGGCGGACCTGCTACTGGTGACAGACTTGACAATTACGACGTCGATTCAAACAATTTAATTTAAAACATTCATAGTAAAGCCAAGGAATGCAGTATACCAAAAATATGTATTATGTCGAATAACAATGATATACACAAAATAATTTTGAATAAGGTAGTCAATCTATAGCAACAATTTGTTAAGCTAGTTAGAAATGTTCAAAATTAAAATTGAAAAGTCTAAAGAAACTCTGAAGTAGGTATTTGAGGGCAGGTAGAGAAATGCAATAGGGGGTTCTTCATAGATATCAACTACAGATTAAAGAGATGCCTGGGGCCATGGAAAATTGAGACAGCTAAGGTAACTGATAATGACAAATAAATGGGTCGAATTTTAAATAAGTACATTATCCAACCCTTCAGAATCCTAGTCTTGGACAGGACTTGCGTCCACTACAAAAATATTTGTATAAAATTCATTTTTTATCCAATCGACTTCAGGATAGTATCAAAATAAGCGCCTTTAGAATGCGCACAATTTGATACCAAAATGAAAGATGTATAATGAAACTTGATGTCCGAACACTTTTATGATTATAAGTTTCTGGTCAAAATTTTAAAATATTTGTTAAAATTCTATTTATTGTGCTATTATGTTGGGACTAGTTTTAAATTGCGCGCCTTTATGTCGCGAACAATTTCATACCAAAATGAAAGATGTAACACAAAAATTTATGTTAGAACACTGGAAAGATATAAATAATTATGAGGATGAGCTTCAAGAATTAAAATATTTGTTAAAATTCCAGTTATTGCTCTATTTTTATGAGACTAGTTTTACAATACGCGCCTTTTTTATTGCGAACAATTTGATACGAAAATGAAAGACATAACACGAAAATTGATGTTATTAAACTGAACGCGTATACACATTAGGTTGCAGTGTACAATTTGGTGCTCCTTTACGGGTAACTTTAGACTTTCCTGTTGGGAGGCACGCCAGGTTT